TGGGGGCTCCAGGGCGGCGCGGGGCTCTGAGGTCAAAGCCGTCGCGTTCGGATGGCGTCTGGGGAAGCGACCGGGGACACCGCGGCGACCTGCGGCCCCACATGGCCCGGCCCGGCATGGCCCGGCATTGGCGGTCACGGGGTCCAAGGAGGTGTCAAGCCTCGGGCTGAAGGGGAGAGGGGCTTCCGGTTTGCAGCTTATGGAAATACTTTCCCTCCTGTTAGCTCCTGGAAAAAAAAAAGCAACAAACAAACCCGTCTTTTTTCCACTGGAAGTGGTGGGTACGTTTTGGGTTGACATTTTGGTGGTCTGGAAAGCAGGTTTTGGGTGATTTTTGGTGGGCTGGAGGGTAGGTTTTGGGTGATTTTCACTGTGGAAGCCGCAAGAAGGGATGCACCAGCACCCCTGGAATACGTGGGGTGCAGGGAGCTGCCAAGCGCATGAAGGTCCCAGCCTTTGTTGATGGTTTGTGCAGCTCTGAAGGCTTCCTCAAAGTGATAGCAGTGCTTTGCTTGGTCACTGGACCCAGGCAGAATGCATTTCCTTACACAGATAGTGTAAGAGGCTGCTTCAGTTGTCTTTCCAGACCGAGTGAATATTTCACAAGTATTTCTATTGTAGAAAGTACTGGAAGGGTCTGTTTTGAAGTTCTTATGGTTGCCCTGCATGCGTGAGGGAAATGGCACAGATTTGCAACTTGTAAATCAGTTTTTTGTTCCAGACCCAAAGTCTGAGCATCACATGGTGCTGGTTGGGCAATAGGAATTTGCCTTGTGATCTTTGATTGCACACAAAATCACTTGCATGGACTAAAACTGTGAATGCTTGTGAGTAGGTAGCTGTGTTGAAGAAGACCACAGAAGAAGGAGTCGTGCGCTGCGGTTGCTCACGTACTGATGGTAGAGTGGCCATGTGAAGCTCTGTGAGAGTGGTCCGCCAGATTCCTGAATATGATGAAGTTGTCATTAAGCAGAAATCCTGAAAGTCCGCAAATACCAGGATGCTTAGCCAGGTTCTTTCTCTAACAAGTGCATCCGTGCATGCCTGAGTAATTTTTCTTCTTGTTACATTTTCTTAGCATTCACATAAAAGCTGTTGCACTGAAGTGTGGATTGCGGTCTGATTGCATGCCAGGGAAATGTTCGATCTTTCAAGACCTTTTGAGGGGTACAGTTGGCACTGGCTGGTGCCCTATTGTGTCTTTCGAGCAGAGCATCACAGAGATGGGGCACAGAGAGCATCACAGAGCATCACACAGAACATCACAGAGGTGGGGCATCACAGAGATGCTCACACAGAGCATCGCAGAGATGGGGCACTCACACAGTGAGTGGACCCTGTCAGACCAAGCCTTTTCTCCAGCAGTGACCAGAAATGGATGTCTAGGAAGAGCATGGCAGTGTGATATTCCCTGCAGTGCACCCTTAGAAACCATTTTGGGGTTGGGGATGCCCAGTCGGATGTTACGTACAGCTGCTTGACATAGCCTGAAAACCAGGCTGCTGTTCTTGGACGTGGATGCGTAACCTTGGTGTTGAGGGTGAGGACTTTTGAGGAACTATTATTGTACAAAACTTACTCAGTGCTCTCTCAAGTTATACTTTATTTTCTTGCTTCCACACTAGGGTTTTGAATACAGCCGGAGTGGAAACCCTACCCGGAATTGCCTGGAGAAGGCCGTGGCAGCGCTAGATGGAGCTAAATACTGTAAGCAATCAATATGTTCCTCAAGCAAGATGCCAGCATGTGTCCCCTGACAGGAGGGGTGACGTGGGGAGCAAGAACACCAAGCTGTCAGCAGCAGTGGTATCACAGCAAGGTTTCACAGCTGCTGACCACTGGTTACGGGCCTGAGCTGCTTTGTGGTGTGAAAAAACTCCAACAATTATTGTTCAGAAAAGTTTAGCTTAATCTTTGGACTTTCTGTAGTGACTTTGCTTTCTCTGCTGCATTTGATGCCAAAGCTAAACTGAGTCCGTCCCTGTGCAGCAGCCCTGAATGTGGCGGGAGCGCTGTTCACCTGGGCTCCACCCTGGAGTGTTCCCTGAGCCCACTGAACAGGAGACATAGAGTAAACGGGAGTGACAGGACAGGCTTCTTGTACCAGCACAGTGAGGAAAGCCAGGGCAGGTTTGACAAGGTTGTATCACCTTAAAATGCAGTCTGTCTACTACTTACTCTTTTCTGCTTTAGGTTTAGCTTTTGCTTCTGGCTTAGCTGCTACTTTGAATATTGCTCACCTGTTGAAGGCGGGGGATGAGATTATCTGCATGGATGATGTCTATGGAGGTATGTAAAGCACAAGAGTGCTTTTGATCTTCATTGTACATATGACAAAATTTACCTATTTGTCATTCTTGTGAACTTGCTGGACTTCCCACATAGGCCCTTACTTTTCCTGAAAGCCCTTTTACTTCACGAGGACACAGAACACTGCTCTCTGATTTTGGTGTTAGAAATTAAAACCCTGAAAGATTCTCTGGCACAATGTGGAAGTTATAAAAATATAGCTAACTGGTAATATATGCTGAAATGAGGGGAAAATGGGAACATCCTAGCCTTGTTCAGGTTTGTTTGCAGAGCAGGACCCTGTGCAGTCCAATGCACGCAGCTTTCCAGTTTCTGGCATTTCTCCTATTCCTGTCCTAGGTCTGACACCATCGTTTTGTCTGCACTGTTTCACACAACTCCTCCTCATCTTCCCTGAAAGTGCAACTTGCGTCTGCTCTGCCCATGTCTGAGTGTCTCAGTGATGCCGCAGCCCATCATTAGGTTTCAGTCATGCATGGGGATGTTTTTTTGATCCATTCTTCCAAGAAACTCCCTAAGAACAAGCAGGGCTCATCCACCTTTGTTGAGGTCCTTCCAAAGGTTGATGCTACCCAACAGTCCATAGCAGGGAAGTCTGCCAGGATAAGCTGTGGCAGTCGGTGTCCGTAGCACCCAACTTGTGTGTTTTGCTGATCGGTGAAGCTTATTTCCTCCATCTTCAAGGCCTTGGCATAAAGAGATCAAATATGGTTGTTTATTTTTTAAAGGAAGGTTAGAGAGGCCAGCAACAGGTAGCATTTTCCCAAGCAACAGCTGGAAAACCTTTTAGCAAGAGTGATCACCTTTCCCATCGCTTTCCATTACTGCTTGCCAGTCAGTTCTCTGTGCTTCTGCATATCAAATATACACACATTTGCTGTTAATGCCTCAGTTCTGCCATGCCAGAGAGCTCTTCCCCAAAGTACGT